CTAAAGCAATGATGCCAATAACCATGACCCCAATAACTGACACCCCCAATCACCATGACCCCAATAACCCCCCAAAAGCAATGACCCCAAGAACCATGACCCCAATAACTGACACCCCAATCACCATGACCCCATAACCAATACCCCCTGAACCCAATAACCAATACCCAAAACCCTAACTGCAAACCCCCGACCCCAAACTCTAGGGTGAACCCTGACCCCAAAACTTTCCTATTTGGGGCTTTAAGCTTTAGGGTTACTGGGGGTATCTGGTTTTGGGATTGTGGTTATAGGGAGCATCCATTACTGGAGGTCATGGTTATTTGGGGGTATATCTGGTTTTGGGGTCATGGGTATTGGGGTATCAGTTATTGGGGGTATCTGGTTTTGGGGTCATGGGTATTGGGGGTATCAGTTATTGGGGGTATCTGGTTTTGGGATTGTGGTTATGGGGCACATCCGTTATTGGAGGTGATGGTTATTGGGGTATCAGTTATTAGGGTATCTGGTTTTGGGGTCGTGGTTATGGGGTATTGGGGGTATCTGCTTTGGGGGGTGATGGTTATTGAGGTCATAGTATTGGGGTGATCAGTTATTGGGGTTATTGGGGTTATGATAATTGGGGTATCAGTTTTGGGGGTATCTGGTTTTGGGGGCCGTTAGGTATTGGGGTATTGGGGCTATCAGGTATTGGGGTGCTGGGTTTTGGGGTTATTTATTGCAGTTGTGGTTCGGGGGGTTGTAGTTGTTTGGGTTATCAGTTATTGGAGGCTGTGGTCATTGGGGTTATTAGGGTCATTGGGGTTATTAGGGTCATTGGGGGGAATCAGTTATTGGGGCGTATCTGTTTTGGGGTCGTGGCTATTGGGGTCTCAGTTACTGGAGGTCATAGTTATTGGGGTTATTTGGGGTCTCAGTTATTTGGGGTATTAGTTACTGGAGGTATCTGTCTTTGGGGTTGTGGTTATTGGGGGAATCAGCGATTGGAGGTCATAGTTATGGGATGATCAGTTGGTAGGGCTACTGGTTATTGGGGTCATGGTTATCGGGGTATCAGTTATTGGGGTTTATGTTTTGGGGCTGTGGAGTTTGGGGTTATTGGTTATCGGGGTTATCAGTTATTGGAGGTCACAGGTATTGGGGTGGTCAGGTATTGGCCTTACTAATTATTGGGGTGGTGGTTATTGGGGTCATGGTTGTTGAGGGTATCAGTTATTGGGGGTATTTGTTTTAGGGGCCATGGGTATTGGGGTTACCAGTTATTGCAGCTGCTTTTGGGGTTGTAGTTGTTGGGGTTATCAGCGCTGGGTATTGGGGTTTCTGGTCATTTGCGTTACCAGGTATTGGGGTGTCAGTTGTTGGCGTTATCGGGGTGATCAGTTTTTAGGGTTACCGGTTATTGGGGTCATGGCCATTGGGGTTATCAGTTATTGAGGTTGTCTGTTTTTGGGGTCGTTATTATTGGGGCTATTGGGTATTGAGGATATCGGTTATTGGGGTTATGAGTCATTGCAGGTCACGGGTTTTGGGTTACTGGTTATTGGGGTCGTGATTATTGGGGTTATGGGGCAGTGGGGTCTCAGTGGGGTTATCACTGAGGCCGTGGTTATTGGGGTCGTAGTGGTTGGGATTATCAGTTATTGGGCTCACGGTGGTTGGGGCTTTCAGTTACTGGGTTTATTGATTTGGGGGTTATTGGGGTCATCGGTTATTGGGGTCATTGGTTATTGGGGTCATTGGTTATTGGAGGTCATAGTGGTTGGGGTTATCAGTTATTGGGGTCATGGTTATTGGGGTTATCAGAATTATCAGTTATTGGGGTCGTGGTTGTTGGGGTTATTGGAATTATCAGTTATTGGGGTTATGGTTATTGGGGTTACCAGAATTATCAGTTATTGGGGTCATAGTTGTAGGGGTTATTGGAATTATCAGTTATGGGGTTATGGTTGTTGGGGTTATCGGAATTATCAGTTATTGGGGTCATAATTTTGGGGGTTATCAGAATTATCGGATATTGGGGTTATGGTTGTTGGGGTTATTGGAATTATCAGTTATTGGGGTCATGGTTGTTGGGGTTATCAGAATTATCGGATATTGGGGTTATGGTTATTGGGGTTACTGATTTATTTTTTGGGGGTGGGGCATCACAGTTATTGAGGTTTTTGGTTATTGGGGTTTTTTCTGAACAAGGGATGTTCGGCCAAAAAGTGGTGCTGTCCCCCAAAACCGCCCTAA